TCCAAACTTAGGTACATTTTCAATCCTCCACTTTTTGTCATTATTTTAATTCGGGTCACTAACACTATCACTAAACTGGTCCTATAAATATCTATTGTTCGATAGATAAGTAACACTTTCATGTCTATCGGATATTAGGTGTTCTATTAAACGAATTTCAAGTGGGTCAATCTGTATGTTACTTTCTAATACGATTTATTGGTCTATGAGATGTGTTTTAACCGGTTGAGCTATGTTTAGATTGAGAATGACATGAATTTAAAAGTCTCGAATTGTTAATTCAACTAGACGAGACACGAACTTTATGATGGAAGTGGACTCGTGGAACAACCTCACATACCATGTGAGTAGAGCACCTACCATGGAGAGAAAAGGTGCAATGTTTGGAGATTGGCATCCCCCCAGTTTGACCCACTTTTATTTCACAAGATCCACATGCCATTGCCCTCTCCCCTCTACCAACCTAATCTCATCTCTTTGTTCTCAAAAGCATCACAAGACCCCATATATATATATATATATATAAAAGTAGGTGTCATAAACGTACCTTTCAAACTCTCTTATCTAATCTACCCGCTTCGTCAAACTTACATGTTGCAATATGATTGATCGTTGTACCCAAGCCCACCTTGTTCTATACTTGAACCCTATATTATTGTAAAAAAGGATCAAAACTTTCGGGGCTCAAATTGGGTTTTTTCTACTTCTAAGGGAAGAGCGACTTTTATTCCGCTCGAACATGTTTCAAGGGTTGAGTTGTTATTTCATTGAAGCGGTACAACTTGGGCCAGTTGCGTCTTTTTCGCAAAAGTAGCCATAATTCAACCCATAAGAGAAATTTGTTTTCCATCAAGTTTAACTTGGACCAAGCTCATGTTTTTTTAGGGTGAAGTCGTGTGAAACTATAATACCGACGAGAATTAGGCCTCTTGGGAGGTGATTCGGCTGCACCTTCCAATATAGCTACCATATCTAAAAACTTAAATAGAACGACTCATTTTGACCCAGATTCACATGAACATAAATCAATCTCCTACTATTAGTATGCATCACATTATTTCTTAACATATTATAAAAGTTACACGAAACATGCACAGAATATACAGCTCAAAAAACGTACAAACGAATATGAACACGAAAGAAGCCTTCTACGAGGAAGTTCTCCATTGCAGTTCGACATGGATGCGTCCAAACGTGCACAAAATATACAGCTCAAAAAACGTACAAACGAATATGAACACAAAAGAAGTGTTCTACGAGGAAGTTCTCCATTGCAGTTCGACATGGATGCGTCCATTCTTCGAGTCTATAAGATGGTACTTCTCGTTAATCCTTTTGTTGGCCACCACATCCGACAGGCTGATGTCCACATAGCCAAGACATTCCTAAAGTACAAATCAAAATCCCATGATGTTTCATTCAACAACCTAGTAAGTTATGTTGAAATATCATCACTAGCCCAATAGAGTCAAGCCCAATAATTGTACTAGCCCAATAGAGTCAAGCCTAATTGTACGAGCCCAGTATATTTATTTTAGTAGAGACTTTAGGAGAAAGAGATGTAGATATTTTAGGAGAAAGATTCAATTTGTTAGGTCTAGATTCAAATCGGTTAGGTCTAGATTTAGATTGGTTAAATATAGATTGTTTACTCTTAGTATAAATACCTCTCCACCCTACCTAGGTTATTCATCTAAGAAATCTAAAAACAATAAAAAGCAGAAGTATTCTACCGAGTGTCTTGTATTCTCTTCTCGATTGGTCTTAATAAAGAGTGCGAGTGTTTCCCACAGTGAGTTGTGTTCAACATTTGGTATCAGAGCGAGGTTAGTGTAGGTTATCTGATCTCTTGGAATCCTTAGTATGCTCTGTGGTTGCAGCTCTGCCTGATCTTCCACATCAGAAACGATTTCTTGAGATTAGTGGTGAGTGAGTTTCTTTTGTGTCGTGAGAAGTCTGTGACTCTGCAAGTCTTGTGTCAAAAGAACTTGTTTGGTATTACTGAGGTATGGCCAACACGATGGGTGATTTCCAAATCGTTGGAGGAATCAAGAAACTCAGCAACAACAACTACAACACGTGGGCAACATGCATGATGTCCTATTTACAAGGACAAGATCTTTGGGAGATCGTTGGCGGGTGTGAAACTACGCCGCCAGAGGAGGATTCCAACGGCGCCTTGCGCAAATGGAGAATCAAAGCAGGCAAAGCAATGTTTGCGTTGAAGACCACAATCGGAGAAGAGATGTTAGAACATATTTGGGATGACAAGACACCGAAAGAAGCATGGGACACGTTCGTGATGTTGTTCTCAAAGAAGAACGATACGAGGCTACAACTTCTGGAGAATGAGTTGTTGTCAATTACACAACGTGATATGACAATTGCTCAGTACTTCCACAAGGTCAAATCAATCTGTCGAGAGATTACTGAACTAGACCCAAAGTCCGCCATTGTAGAATCTCGAATGAAGAGGATTATAATCCACGGATTACGACCGGAATATCGAAGCTTCATTGCTGCTGTACAAGGATGGCCCACTCAACCATCACTGGTAGAGTTCGAAAATTTGTTAGCCAGCCAAGAAGCCATGGCTAAACAAATGGGAGGCTTCACATTGAAGGGTGAAGAAGAAGCACTCTACACGAGTGAAAGTCAGAGCAATAATAGGCCGTCTACCAGACGTGGATACAATGGTGACAAAAGAAGAAGCCACCAAGGGATTGCACAACCTGAGAGAGCTCAGAAGAATGACAACAAGAGTTTCCAAAGAACGAGATTTGGTGGTATTTGCTATAACTGCGGGAAAAAGGGCCATATGTCTAGAGATTGTTGGTCCAGGAAAAAGTCCATTGAAACCAATGTGGCAATATCCAAAAAGAAGATAGAAGATGAATGGGATGCAGAGGTACTATGTCCCATAGAAGAAGACGAGCTAGCACTCATGGCGACAATGGAAGACCATATCAACTATGAGGATGAATGGATCATTGATTCAGGATGCTTAAACCACATGATTGACGATCAAAACGGTGCAATGGAAGAGGGGTGGCCCTTAGAGAAGGAAGTATTACCACGCCTTGAGCAAACTGAAGAAATTCTTCTCCAGGACATGGGGGAGCAAATTAAAGAGATTCTTCTCCAGAACATAGGGGAGCAAACTGAAGAGATTC